GGCTGGAAGTCCTTCTGTGACCATCAGCTCACCGCCAACACTCCCCTTTGACATGGCGCTCGTGTTGTGCGATCTCTCACTAGAAATGGTGGGGGCGACCCCTGATTAACAGCAGCCTGAAGTCCGTCTGTTATGTTTTATTTCTGGAAAACGAGGCGCAGCCTGAATTATGAAGTACACTAATTTGTGTTTTGTAGCGCGGTGGTCTCAACTCTGGCAAGACATTAGAACTCTGCAAGACCTGCAGAACTTTAGGAAATACTAAATGCTAAATGACTTGTTTCAAATTAAAATCAGACTAGCTCAGGTTGGAGCCTGGCATCCACATTCTTCAAAATCATTGCAGGCAAGTGGAATGGGCAGTGGGGGTTGGAAACAAGTGAGCGGGCAGCTGGAGAGACCGTGAAGGTGGGTTTTGCACCTGCTACTAGTCCTGCTGGTCAGTTAGTAGTATAACTAGAGCCGCTAGCAAACGGACTAGCTGCTTCCTCTGTGCAGGTAGTGCTCTAAGCATTTTTCATCCTTGCCCACTCCTCGTAATAACTCAGAAGCTTCTTTCATTTTAATAGATGTGCACATGGACAGCTTTGAGGAGACAAAGCAATTTATTCAGAGTTGAACGAAGCTTGTTGGGGATAGTCTCTATTATAAAGTGAGATGAAGCCCGTTTCTGTAGGTATACATTGTATGTGGCTGTTCGTATCATTTGTCTAATCATGGAAGACTTGGATTGCTCCTGTATGGTCAACGTGCCTTGGCTCTGCCCACTGAAATCCAGCTATAAGATTATAACCAGTCAGGCATCTTCAGATTCCTGATCACAACCGCTGGCTTCCTAATTTTTAGGATTAGATTTCACATGAGTTTCCTAAAATGCTTCTTTGCTGCAAATAGTTTATATGATGGCAGAAGTAGGTAGACGTTGATGGCATACAGCCCTGCAAAGACTCTGGCCATACATATATTCTTTAGTAAGTGTGCAAATTGTAACTCCCATGTACTTAGATTTAATACCTTTGCACACTTGTGCACAATCTCCCATGTTATATTTACCACCTCCCAGGGAGGTCTCCATCATGAAGGGCTAGATGCATAGGGTGAGATTTAGAACGTGTTGTAATTTAGCCGGTTGCAAAGTCTCAGATCACCTGCTTTCTAGTCAGGACATTAAAGAAACCATTAAACCGTGAGGATTTTGTTGGTGTTGGTTTTGGTGTATAGTTCTATAAATTGTAACCCACACACAGAGCCATGTAACCATGACCACCAACAGGATGTAGACCAGCCTTTGAACATGGAGTTCAAAGGCCCAGAGTGTGGCCTCGAATAGTCCCTCCCGAGTCCTCCCCCTACCTCAGCAGCCTGGACAAGCTTGACTTTCTGTAAGACGCTTAGCTCATTGCCACCCTGAGCTAGCGATTTCTTGGCAGTTTGGAGATAGATCTTTCTACATGTGGGGTGTGCCTTTCCTTTTTTCCTAGTTTGACTAGATACCGTTAACCCTTGATCCTCAAAGAAAAGACTTAAGACATGAAAAAGAGGCTGGAGTCAGAGCTCTGAAGATGTGGGTTACTTTGTGGAAAGAAATGAAATAATATGCCCCTATTAGCCTCCCAAAAAGAAAAGGTACTGCCTCACAGGGTCCTGCCCCCTGGGATCAGAAACTGGGGTTTCCAGGGCAAGCAGAGTTGGGTGGCAGGTAAGTGCTTGTCCTCTGTGCTGGCTCTAAAACCTTCAGCAGCCCTCCTCTACCCTTTCTTCCTGAATTTACATCTTGAACTCCAAGCCCAAAGGCCTGGAGGGCTTTCGTTTGACTTCCTTCCCCACCTTGACACCCTCCATTGAGTCCCCTACGAGGCAAGCAGCAAGAATCTCTCTGGTGCCTGGCAGCCAGTTCAGAGAGGCATGCTTGGATAACAGGGCTTCTCCTTTGATCTCCACAGACAAGAAGTTACCAGCTTCAGGTCTGAAGATTCTGATGGTTTTGTTTACTTTGCAGTATGAAAGCATAAGATCCTAGGATAAAAAGCTCTATCTATATACCAGAGAATAATAGAGTTAGATCCGAGGAGAATAAAAACCTGCTGTCTCCAACTAAAGAAATGTGTGTAGCTTTTCTTTTCCCTTTCTGTACCTCTGTTAAAAGCACAACCATTTACAGCCTCTGTGTCCTAATAAACCTACCTGTGGAATGGCACTCGGGATCTGCTGGTGGAGAAAACAACAGGGTTCATGGCACACGGACCAACAGGGGTCAGCCCTCTTCCTTTCTGTGTGCCAAAGGAAAGAAGTGAGGTCTTCTATAAGGGAGGGGGGAGGGAGGAGAGAAGGAAGAAAGGAAGGATATTTGAGCTAAGCCTCCATGATGCTGGTGGGGAAGAGCTTTTTCTGGCAGAGGAAAGAACTAATTGAGAGGGTCCCTAGCTAACAACAGATCGGTGTGTTGGGGGGCTGAGAGAAAGCTGTTGTGGCTGGTGGTGGGTGTGGCTGGAGGCAGGCCCTGGGTCATGTGGGGGTATAGACCATGGAAAGAGTTGACTATTTTGTTATCAGAGAAATAGGTTTTAAGCAGAGGGCTGACATGGCCTGATGGGTAAGATTAAAAGATCCTTCTGGTTGCTGTATGGGTAGAGGAGAAAATTTGTAATCAGTGAAAAGACTCAAGGGTTCTCCCAGATAGCCCAGAAGGGCTGGTGGGAAGTGATCAGATCTGAGTAATGTTTTGAAGGCTGAGCCAATGGGACTTGTGACTACGGTTGGTACAGACTGGGTAAGGGAAAGAGATGGATCAAGAATGACTCTTGGGCTTTGGAGCCCACAGGGGAAGGGATGTGTTTGTGTGACCAGATAAGGAGGATAGGGAGGTGCCAGTTTGTGGTGGAGGGGGGAGGTGGGGAATTGCAGCAAATAAAGAATTGTGTTTGGACTGGCAAAGTGTGAGATGCCTGTAGACATCCAGGCCAACGTGCTAAGGAGTCAATGGGTAGCCGAGTCTGGAGTGTGAGGGAGCAGTCAGACATTCAAGTCATTCATTTTTAGGAAGTTTGTTTCTTATGGAAACTTCTAGTATTTTAGAAACACTTAGTTGTTTGAGCTGTCTTTGATGCCTGAGACTGATACCTGGAGAACATGCAGTTTGCTGCCGTTTGCTGGGGTTTCTCCCATCCCTCCCGGGAGGACACATTCACAGGATGAGATGATGAGAACCTCCTGCAGCTCTACTGACTATACCATGTAGAGGTAGCTCTGAATATTTCGCTAGACCAAGGCAGTCATTTTTCTGGATTCTTTCATACACATCCTCTTTATTAAGTCAGATAAAGATCTCACTTCCTGTTTCTGTGTGTTCTCAGTGGAGTGTAGCACAATACTCAAGGTCAAACTAATCGTTATGCATATTCACATTTCGAAGTTTCCTGAAAATAACCCAATCATGCACATGCCAGGTGTTTGTGTTTGTGTGTCTTATATGCAAAAATTGGGCCCTGTTGTCCCTTAACTATATACAACTAGCCCATTAGGGTACAATCATTGTGGACATCAAGTGGGTGATAGATCAGAAGACTACAAAGAAGAAAGGATGGCTGATGCCCCAGTATGGAAGAAGGAAAAAAACCCTATAAACCCAAACCCACTTATTTGTTATGTTTTGGATAAGTTTCCCCATTTGAACTGTCTCTGTCTTAAGTTCTACTTCTCCCTTTTGAAAAAAAGTTTATTTATATATTTAATCTCTGCACCCAATGTGGGGCTCGAACTCATGACCCTGAGATCAAGAGTCACATGCTCTTCTGACTGAGCCAGCCAGGTGCCCCCTACTTCTTTTTATTTCAATTTCCTAAGTCACTTTTGCATCCTCCTAAAAAAGCACATTTCATCTACTTCAACTGGGACATTTACCTTGTTCCTTAAGCTACTGTTCTCTCTAGGTATCCTTGTGTTTCCAATATTGTCCTTATTTTGTTGTGTTAGAAAGGCTAATTGTCTTCAGTTTTTGCGAAGTTGATTTCCCCTGACTGACAAGTATTATCTACCTGGAGGGGAGCCTCTGAATATACTGAGCACATCACTGACTCCTCCCTGTGCTCACATGTGTTGCCAGGTCGGTGCCTGGGCTCGGTAATCGGGCTCTGCAAAAGCTGGTAGGTAGCTTTTCAGATGAGCAGCAGATGCCCAAGCACACTCTGGAAAAAACAGTCTTCTGTCTTTTCTGCAGTTTAACAGGGTGTGACCCTGAGCAAATTACTGGATTTCTCTAGGCTTCTGTTCCCTTCTCTGTAAGTGAGGATAATTATAACCCACCTCGGATATTTGAGTTAAGTGAAAACCTGGAAAGTGCTGAGCAGAGTACCTGCTACATAAAAGGAACTCAGTGACCTTTAGTTTCCATCCTGACCCCTCTGAGTCTTTATTTCATCAGGCAACAATAATCATGCACTCTGAAAATACACAAGCCAGTAAGTGGCTATTCATAAAGACAGATCAAGCTTCCAACACAAGCAAGACTGGAAAGACCAAGGGAAATCAACAGTCAAGACAAAGTAAGAATAGTGCAGTGGTTCTCAAAGTATGGTTCCAGGACCTGCAGCATCAGCATCACTTGGGAGCTTGTGAGATGCAAATTCTCAGAGACACTGTGGACCCAGGCAATCTATGTTTCCACAGGCTCTACAGGTAATTCTGATGCACACTGAGGTTTGAGAACCACTGGTCTAAAGTAAGCTCAACAGATACTGGGTGGGGGATAGTGGTGCGTATTTCAGCGTGTGTATGTGTGCACACACACCAACATATGTAATGTTTGTAACTGCTGAAACTATAATCGAGTATGGTGATATCAACAAAATCCCAGCAAACTGGCAATTAATTACCCATTTTTCTTTGGTACAGTTGTCTAAATAGAGATTATACCTAGGATGCTTGTTTTCAATGACTTTGCACTAAAATCACTTTGGTTTTAAAAGTATTGATTCATCAACTTTCTTCTTTTTTTTCCCTAGGAAATTCCACTTACTTGGATGATCATGGACCACCTCCTAGTAAGGTAAGGTCTTTGCCTGTGGCATAAATCCCCCTTTTCTTTTCTCAGTCCCTACAGCCTCCAACAACCCCAACCAGAGCCCTCCTGGCCCTGAATTGTTGAGAGGAAAATAGTAGATGACAGATGTCAAGTTCATCTTTGACTTAGAGTGAGGAGAAAAACCTATAAACAGTTTTGGCCTGATTTTTAAGGGTCAGAGTATTCCAGTGACATACTAGTGTAGTTCTCCACCACTATTTACTCTCTTATGCTCAATGAACACCAAATGTCAATATACCACAAAACGAGAAGAATAAAGACAGTCTTGGACCACTTAAGATGATGACCTGCAAAGTAGAGTTTTAAGCACCCACTAACCTTAGATGCTGGAAATTTACCCCAAAGTCGGCTTTTGAGCTTGTGAGATTTGAAGAAGTACTCTACTATTTGTAAGACTATGAGCTTTGGAATAAAGTTATTTCTGGGTACATCACTGGTTCTGCCACTTTCAATGTATGATGTTGGACAAATTACTTAATACTACGAGCCTCAGTTTTTTGATGTGCAAAGTGGGATTAGCAGTACGACCCACAGGACATCTAAAAGGATCAAATGCACTGATATATGACATTCAGCACCTGGCGTGCAATAAGCATTAAATAAACAGTGGCTCATGTTAACTAGACTGGAGGGACATTTAAATTATTGATGAATGGTCCAGTAGTATTTATCACAGTTGTTTCACTACCACTTGGCCCACTGCATATATATTGGGTGCTTTTGATGCCATGGGCACTGGGCATACAAATAGGAAACAAAACAAGAGCAACAGAACAAAATAGCCCCTATCCTGGAGGAACAAAAGAATATGGAAGTTTGATACCATCCACGGATAAGAACCATGTCTAGCTCCACTTGGCATCCTCACATCCTTGCAGGAGCACATCGTGACTATTCATTAAATTTCACTGAATTGGACCATGGAATCCAGAGCTGGAATCTGAATTAGGTCTCCTGGCTCCCAGCCCAGGTTCCTTCCACTCGGCCAGTGTTCTCAAACTTGAGCTTGCATCAGGGTTTCCCGGAGACTCATTAAAACATGGATGGCTGGGCCCAGACCCCTGAGTGTCTGATTCTGTAGGTCTGGGGTAGAACCTGAGAACTTGAGTTTTTAACAAGCTCCCAAGTGATGCTGATGGTGCTGTCCTCGGGACCATGTTTGTGAACCATTGCTTTAAAGGCCATGAATCTAAAGAAAACAATGTCCCTGGACATTTTCTGTGTTGTTTTTGCTGCTGATAGCCTAGAGGGAGTGATATGGCTTATTATATAAAGGCTATTTATTAATGTAATGGTGACTCACTATTGTAACTGTTCTAACAGTGAAAACAAATTTTCTTTGGTCAGTAACCTGCCTGGAAGGGAAGATGAGTGGGGGTGAGGGAGAAGAATGGTGTGGATGACCTGCTAGGTTCCTGTACCACTAACTGTACTTCTCTCCCAAGTGGGGCCAAGTGAACCCTCCCTACCCTCTCTGCTCTGCAGGAAAAGGGGGTGAGGTTGGCTCTGTGGGACCCATCAGCTGTGTCTCTCAATGGCATGTTGGGATATTATTTGGTGTTTCGGGCTTGATAAACGGGGTTTTACCTAGTGAGGAGACCCAGGCCCACTTTATATAAATTTGCCTTCTTGAACTCAATCCTTGGTGACTGGCTTGGGACCACGTCCTTAATCTGCCTAGGGTCCTTGCTCTTGCTGAGTTGGCCATCCTGCCTGCCTCTTTACTAGTATCCATGGTGCCTGGGTTCTGTGTTTGCTGGACTTTCTCCCCTTCCCCCTGTGGAGATTGCCCTGGTTCTGCCTCCCTCTGCCCCTGTGATCTGGTCTTCACCCCTCCGTCTTCCCCTACCCCCAGCCAAAGCTCCCTGTGACATCCAGAAACAATCAGGTCATATCAGATCATTTTAGATCACTTTCAGACTGAATGCATTTTTATCACTTCTATTCCAAGTTCAAAACTGTCAACCAGCAGAATGAGACAGATTCTTTTAGTATAACTGTATTTTCATTATCTAGGAGTGGGGTAGCAAAAACACTCTTTTGACTTTCTAAGCAGTAGCCAAAATAAGAAGAATACAAAAATGAGTAAAAATAATGTTGGTATGTTAACATCTTTTCATCCATGCTTATTACTTCTGCCAGGGTGGAAATGAATCCCAGAAGTGATAAAGTCAGACTTCCAGATAAAGATCCCTTGAATGTCCCCTGAAGTGGGGTCTTGGTTAGTTCGGTGTATAGACCCCTGGGGTCTCCAGGGACATGGTGGCATCCAGAGAAGATGGACTCACACCTGTGTGGCCTCTAGAGTGAACCCCCAGCCTGGCACGGGAAAGCAAGACTAAGGGCAGACCCACCGTTTTCGTATTTGTTTAGCATTCAGAAATAACTTTCTGATGCCAAGATTCAAAGAGCTGTGATCTAGATAAAATAAGGTTTTTAAACCCTGAAAGTGTACTAAGGTTTACAGGCGAGTTCTCATTTTATTAAAAGTTCATTCCATGAGTTTTACATTCCACAAGTAATAGCCATTTAGGGAATGGGGTGTGTGCCACACAGCACATAGAGCCCAGGGCTTCCTTCTTGCCAATATTTTCATAAAAAAGAACCAACATGCCTCTAATTTTTTACTTGTTTTTAAAATCCACTTGAACCTCACAGCTCACCTTCATTTTTAATCTAAGTCATTTTTTTAAAGGCAGATGTTAATATTTTCTTTTGTGAACCACTTTTTACTACCACTTTGTGTGCGTGCAGAACGCATGGCTTAAGGTTAGAGCCCTGCTAAGAATGAACACGTAGATCTCTATTGAATGAATTAGAAAGATATTTTTGAGAACAAAAACAGGCGTGCAGCATCCAGGATCGTGCGATCACACTTCTTATAAAGTTGTGTGTATAGGATATGTGTGTACAGAGAAAAGCCTGGAAGGATAATAGTGTTTTCTCTGGATGATGAGATTCAAGAGATTTTTACTCATTTCTTTATACTTTTTTTTGTGTGTGTGTGTGTATTTTTTGAGTTCGTTAAAGTAATGCCCGCTCAACCTAAAGATCAGGGTGGGAGGGATGGAGGGGGGATGTCCTTATGCAAGAGAAGATTAGGGTTGGGCTGGAAAGCCCGTGGTGGTCGGGCCTCTGCAGTAGCATCTGCAGCTTCATGACACCCAAGAGCAGCCTGATCTCTGAAGGTTGAACCCCCAGCCTGGCACTGCTTCACTTCACTTAGACCGTGGATCCCCACGCTGCTTCACTTCACTTGGACTGTGGGTCCCCACGCAAGTAGCTGGAGACGGCAATGATAAATTCAGGTGGTAGCAAATATGATGTAGTAACTGTTTCGCATATGTTGGGTTCCCAAATCTGATAAATAAGGAGAGCTGGTCTAAGCAATTCAAGGAAAATAAAACCACTACCCATAGCTGATGTCTATCCTTTCCATTGGGGCAAGCACTCTGCTAAGCACTTTGCGTGCGAGTTTAGTCTCAGTAAAGCCCTGTGGAAGAGGGAGTCATTTTTTAAAATTGAAGTATAGTTGACATACAATATGATATCAGTTTCAGGTGTACAACCTAGTGATTGAAATTTGTATACATTATGCAATGCTCACCATGGTAAGTGTAGTTACCTTCTATCACCATGCAAAGTTATGCCAGTATTTTGACTTATATTCTCTATGCTGAACTTTACATACCCATGACTTATTTATTTTATAGTTGGAAGTTTATACCTCTTAATCCCCTTCACTGATTTCACCCCTTTCTCCACCCTCTCCCTCTGGCAACCACTAGTTTATTCTCTGTATTTAGTCTGTTTTTGTTTTGTTTGTTTAATTATTTGGAATTTAGGTTCTACATATAAGTGAAATTATATAGTATCTATCTTTGTCTGACTTATTTCACTTTCACTTAGCATAATACCCTCTACGTCCATCCATGTTGTCACACATGGCAAGATTTCATTCTTTTTTTATGGCTGAGTAATATTCCTGTGTGTGAATATACGTGTGTGTGTGTTTGTGTGTGTGTGTGTGTACACATATAGATCACATTTTCTTTACCTATATATCTATATATGGACACAGGTTGCTTCCATATCTTGGCTATTGTAAATAATGCTGCAGTGAACATAGGGGTGCATGTACCTTTTCAAATTAGTGTTTTTGTTTTCTTTAAGTAAATATCCAGAACTGGAATTGCTGGATCATATGATATTTCTATTTTTAATTTTTTGAGGACCCTACATACTGTTTTCTATAGTGGCTGCACCAATTTACATTCCCACCAACAATGCACAAGGGTTTCCTTATCTCCACATCCTCACCAACACTTGTTATTTCTTGTCTTTTTGGTACTAGTCATTCTGACAGGTGTGAGTGTTATCTTATTGTGGTTTTGATTTGTATTTCCCTGATGATTAGTGGTGTTGAGCATTTTTTCATGTGTCTGTTGGCCATCTGTATGTTTTCTTTGGAAAAATGTCTATTCAAGCCCTCTGTCTATTTTTAAATTGGATTCTTTATTTTTTGGTGTTGAGTTGTATGCATTCTTTATATGCTTTGGATATTTACCCCTTATTAGATATATCATTTGTGGATACTATCTTCTCTCATTCACTAAATTGTCTTTTTATTTTGTTGGGTTTTTGTTTTGGTTTTGGTTTTTGTTTTGCGGTGCGAAAGGTTTTTAGTTTGTTGTAGTGCCAATCAATTTTTGCTTTTGCTGCCCTTACCTGAAAAGACAGATCCAAAAAAAATATTGCTAATGCTGACACCCAAGAATCTACTGCCTGTGTCTTCTTTTAGGAGTCTTATGGTTTCAGGTCTTACCTTTAGGTCTTTAACCCAATTTGAGTTTGTTTTTGTGTATGGTGTCAGAAAGTGGTCTACTTTCATTCTTTTGCATGTAATTGTCCAGTTTTCCCAGCATCATGTATTGAAGAGATGTCTTTTCTCCAACGTGTATTCT